CCTTATTTTTCAGTATTATTTTACAACAATAATACATTTCAATATATTTTACCTATTAAATATAGGAACAAATGTTTGTAAAACTCCAATTCATGGTCTTGTTTGCTATTAGTGTTACAAAAATGGGCAAAATTGAAAAAGTATAAGTAAGCAATTCACAAAAAATTGAAAACCCTAAGATGCAAATAGCACATTTACTGTGGCTATTAGATTATGTAAAGATATATATTAAAATCTTTAGGCCACATATTTGCTTGAGTGATCTGTAGATAAATGCTTCAGGGAACTTCCCTTTCCAATCCATTCATATTTTACTTTAGTTCATGAAAAACCAGAACTTACCTTTGAGCTCAGGTGAACAGTCACAGAAATAGCTGTTCAAGCTTCTAGTACATCTGCCAAGGCCACAAGGGTTTGGTTGGCACACATTGACAACCACTTCACAAAGACCACCATGGAATCCAGGCAAGCAGACACACAGGTAAGCTCCACTCCCCGGAGGGAATTTTCTGTCAGGCACACATGATCCAGCATTCAGGCAATCACAAGACTTCACAGTCACCTACAAAAGAAAAAGAGTAAATGTTCTATTTTGAAATAAAATTATCATCAGTGTATACCCTAGAAATTATGACAGGCATGTATGCTTAAGAACAAGTGTGATCAAATTGCATATCTTTGTAAAATATATATTGTATATAAAATGGTGGTTAAAATGATTTAATAAGGAAATCATGCCCACTTTCATGAATAGCCAAAGTATACATGCTAGGATAATTTTTTAAAGGAATGTTCCAAGTTGATCAAGTTAGAAAATGCAAGCAGAATACTTGCAGAAAAACATCCAAGAGGGAAGCGTTCATCCAGGTTACCCCCAAATCTAGAGAGCGATGATGACTTGAGGTGCCTGGCTATCAGGTCAATAGGACAAATTGCCTTACATAGTATTGTGAAAGCTCTCCCCACTTCCAGTGAATACAGCATATAAAAAGGTTTATAAATATTCAGAGCATATGAATGGAATAATAAAAAGTGTCAGTAAAGAAACTATAGTTGTCAATTTGTTATTTTGAGTCTTATATCCAAAATTTTGATTCTAATTCAACATCTGAGATTCTTCTACTTGAAGGCAAAAGGTATAATAATCGATCTCATATTAGTGGCAGGTCATTCATGAAGAAAAAATGGATGAGTTCTTTACTCTGTCATTATTAAGTGCAGAATAAAACTGTAGATTATTACTTTAGTTCCATGCTTCTGGATTGGGAAATTTTCTATTTTTACAAAGAATGATCAGATGTGCAATGTTTAGTAATTCATCTCTCTTTGCAATTAAGAATACGCTTTGTGTTTAAGAATTAATATACAGTTGAGACTATTGTTAAAGGATCCAATGGCACTTATGTATGTAATTAGAATTCTGACCTCAACTGTGACTTTAGTTTCCGCATCACAGTCATCATTGAGGTGTAGAGTGAATCGCTGCGGAGCTTTCAAATCTGCTTTCCATGTAAGTAATCCTGCAGAGGAGATATGTGCTCCTTCTGGACCAGATTCCAATGTAAAACGAACTTCAGAGCCTTCTGGGTCCAAGGCCATGAACTGGTACTCAAAGTTTTCTCCATAAAATGTCTGTAATTTGTCTTGTGATGTTTGCATCAAAGGGGGTTGGTTATCTGTAGCAGAGAAATCATATACCCTTGTATATGTGTAGAAAAGGAAAGAAGTGTGATTCTGAAAGTT